GCGGTCCTGTTCTTTCGTGCCCCCCCCCCCCGACGTCTTTGAATCGATGGCCGTTCTTCCGGCTGCGGGAGCGGAGAGGGCGGCGGGACTCTTGTCTCGATACACAATCACGGGACATGTTGGCGTCTGTGTTTTTTTTTTGAGACGGGTGGTCGGTTGGTTGATGGCTGACTGGGGCCACCGCCGATGGTGTTTTGAAGCAGTAGTGTAGGCGATTTTTGATGGAGAGAGTGCGGCGGCGTTCTTCGGTCGAGCTGAGAGTGAACACATGGCTGGCTGGACCTGGACCTATATATATAGAAGACTACTGTTGCTTTGTCCTGTTGATTTGGTGGCCCGTTGTCACGACTGCCGAAGATCTTGCGTGTGGGGGTGATCATTGGCTCGTCTGCCGCGTTATCTGGCAGCGTGTCGCACCGTGTGTTGCGCGGCACTCCATCTGTTCCGCGGGTTTTTCGGCCGGCATTGCTGGTCGTTCCGCCCGGTCTTTGTTTTTGGTGGTGGAAAATGGAGACAGTACCTGTAGGTGGGGGGATACAGTTTCTTAGCACCCACCGCGTTCAGGCGAGATGTAGTTGCTGCAGCAAGGATGTCGGGGTGGAAATTGATGTCTCGGCGTGGGCGACGCGAGGCGGGGGCTGGGACAACATCCCGCACACGAAGTTTGGAGATTGGAAAGCGTAGCCGGTCCGATCCGTCCCTGGTAATCCCGGTCTCGCTGGTGGCACGCCGGTCGAGGAGGTGGAGTTAAGAAACACGCACAAGTTAACACTTTTTCAGGTGGCGGGTAGGACGGCGTTTAAGACGGCAAGTCGGAAGTCTTTGAAGATGGTAGCGGAAGGGTGGCTTTTAAGAGGGTGGGCGGGAGGACTTTGGCGACGGCAGGCTGGCGAGGCCTTACCACACCCCGCGCATGATGATGCGAGCGAAACTTGCTCGGGGGAGGGAGAAGATGAGAAAAGGGGGAAATACTATGAAGCTAGGGTCGAAGTCGTTTGGTGCTGACTGCCACCTTTGTTTTTTGCCTCCCCAAGCGCGGGAACTGTGTGGTGCTGGCGTGCGTTGTGAGGCGCTCCCCTGCTTGTGCGGATCGGCTGTAAGACGAGAGTTTGGGGGTTACGGGAAAGAGTGGAAGTCGGAGATCGATCGCTCGTGTTGATAGCGGGGGGGATTAACAAACGGGTTTGTTTAGGTTAATTGCCTGGAGGGTTGCTCGGGGGGAGTGGGGAAATGAATTTAAGACGGAGTAGATGACGATCTGATAGCGAGCAATTTAGTATGGTATCCCGAGAGAAACTTACGTCAACGGTGCACGAGGTGTGGCGACCCGTGACACGAAACGATCCATCGAGGCCGTCTAGGCTTTACGATTGGCAAGAAAGGGTTTCAACACCCGAGGACAGGCGTTCCTCTTTGGTGCTCACCCCATCGTTGCGCGAGCACTGCGTTTTTGACGCCTTTTTTTTGGACTGTTGACCAATCATACTGCCTCGGGGGAGAGGGGGACGCCGCGAAACATCCCCCCCACACAAACGTCACCCCCCAGATGATGAATGGATGTATGCGACTCCACTTGTTTATCTCAGCTACGGGTGGCTTTTCTGTGCCTTCGAAAAAGGCGAAAACACTCACAAGAGATGCATCTATCTCTTAAATCATGGAACCTGTATGAAGACAACCATCCATGCAGTGGGCAGCACTGTTTACCAAGTGCCGACACCAGTTACAGCACTGCCAGCGGGCACAGACTAAGTAACAATCACCAACATCACTTCTGTACTTCAAACGTTTGAGCAGTCCCGGTCAAGTCTGGGCATGGCATGTGTCTGGGCACCACACAAGCCCCCCCCCCGCCATGAGCAGTACATGTGTTGACAACGATAAACAGTCCTCGCGGGATGGTCACATTTCGGAAAGCGCCGCGGCGCGCGGTGCAGTCAAGGGCGCCATCTCGAGTCTCAACACGTATTGGCGAGTAAAATGGAACTCTCTATACTATCATAGTGCTGCTGAGGGGTATCAGACCGGGCGTAGCCCCGGCCTCAACTCAAGCCTTCAGTAAAGGCTTGGCAAGGAACAAGGGAAGCGTTTGTTGCTGTGGAGCATGACGTGAGTATGTGTCTTCGACGTCCCACGAAGAAATAATAACTCATTTTAGTGATGTGACAGCGAGAAGAACACTTGTTGTGTGGACACACACACCGTTTTTTTTCCGCCGGCATAAAGGCGCGAGCGTCGTCTGCTCTTCTGTCTCTCGGGCTCGCGCATACTCTATTCCCATGTGATGGTCTATGGCCACCTCTTCTTTACGTGTGACGCCTCTACCGGCTGTCGGACTTTCGGACTTCCCGCGGCACGATTGGTTGGCTGCCGAGAGACCCTGCTCTGTGCAAGAGCGGAAGTATGGGGATACAAACACTTTAACACCCTTCGGTATAATAGCCAAAACCTGTTGTGCCGAGAAATCTAGACGACGTTGTTGAGGTTGACTCCACGTTGGTGCTCCGTGTTACTACAGTATTGAGTGTACGCATATGTTCGATGTAAGGGGTAGGGTTTAACGTAACCAACACCCTCCATGTGGTGCATCGTGTAAAGTACGCATGAATATCTTTGTCCTATCTCATTATGTTTAACCACCGCAAATAGATGTACATATACCCTAATAAATCCGCCTGCCAGCGTCTCCACCGCCCTGAACATCATAAATGCACACACACGTCACGAACATATGATACGCAACAAAATGTTGTACTTGTTCCTTCCCATTGGCCACCTCGAGTTATTCCGGACGTAGTAATCTAGTTGGTTGGGCACTTCTATGCATGAACGACGAACAGGTTATTTTACACTCCAGAAGCGGGACAAATCAAAGGAGGAATGTTTTCTATGGTTAGTCTACCTGGCTGAGAATCGAGATAACATACCATGCATGTTGTCAAGAAACTACATAAGTTTCACCACCAACAACAGCCAGCAATCAATCGTGTAGGGAACACAGCAATTTCCAGGCTCAGTCTGCTGGCGAAATCTTGCCAACTTAATTAATAGAGACCGCGCAAGGCCTACAACAAGCAAATTGTGCGGTCTGGTCAGGACAACCAGACACAGGCAAAAAGCTAAGTTACAGATTCAACAGCAACAACCAAAGGAGGGGCGGTGGTGCAGGAATGCATGTCTCTCGGAAAACTGAGCGCACCCACCCCCGGTATAACATACCCGGAACATCTATCACCTTCACAGCAAACTACGAACCAAGCAAGATTATTCAAACGATGCTTACTATGCAAGCAACGAAGAGAATTATCTTTTAACGCGCAACAGCCTACCTTTTCTTGCACGACGACCACCCATCACCAAATGTTTGGGTGTCTACACACCATGGTTCTACCGTAGATGTCACGTAAAAAACACTACACGTCAAAAGAGCGCCACCGATAGTTAGCGGGCTCTCTCTCTCTCTCTTTCTCGTGCGCACGACAAATCGTACCGCATCCATACGTCACCTCAACTAACATCGATCGTAAGCGACGATTACACCCTCGAAAAATCTACACGCTCCCACATGCACACACAACCCCCCCCCCTTCCCTCCCCTGCATCGACAAAAAACGCAATTTACGAAACGGCGAACAGCACGGTTTTTTTGCCCCTTGACAAGCAATTTTATCAGAAACGAACGAACGGCAGGCTTGCTTGAATGTTGCTACTCTGCAACATATACTGTAACCAGTATCATCACGAAACACAACCATCAACAACGACGACGACATCAACAAACCGGTCGTCGCCCACACAACAAGCGGAAACCGAGGACCGATCCCACCACCACACCATGGCAGGCCGGAGGCACAATTGATAGTTCAGGACAGATGGGAAAGAGAAGCCACAGGCCAATCACCGCTACTAGGCACGGCCAAATGAAGGCAAAGGCATGGGGAGCATGCACCTCGCGTTGTGGCGGCGGGTTGTTTCCCACCACATACAGCAGTCAGTCTGTGCAAACAAAAACACAAACACAACTACATGACAGTTTTTTCAACTACCAACGGTAGCCGCAAGAAAGACGTGTGGTATCTAGCGTTATCTGCAATGAGATGTACGCCTGCTTCAACCACCAACAACGACCGATAGCCGCCCGAAAGACGTGTGGTATCTAGCGTCATCAAATTTGTATGCCCACTTCGCATTCAGCCGGCATGGTCGGGTGTGCGTGTGCCTGATCTGCCTCATGTTCACCCCACCTACCGAGAGGCATTTCACACACACACGGTTTATCCTCCCCGTCGCCCTCGCTCGCATGCCAAGGACGATTGATCGTGACGTTGATCGTGACGGAAGGCCATCATATGCAGTCTAGTCCGTGGTGACAGCCTGGAAGGGAAGGTTAAACGCCGTGGGGAGGGGGGGGCGGCCGGTTAAAATGGCTCAACCGCATTTAGTGCAATATTTTTATCGCTCGGGGGGGTATTTGTCGAGTTTTGAAGAGTACAAGTAAATGCGGTTATCCATGATACCGGTACACGCAGCACGTTTAACGGGTTGTCGTCAGCGACATAAAAAATGTAAGGCTAGGACAGGAAGGAACCTCGGTCCCGCGTGCTCTTTCAAGTAGATTCTAGTGGATCCTTGTGTTGTACTACTGTTTTCGTGTAACGTTCGGGGGGGGGAGGGGGGGGGGGGGGGGGGGGG